TTATGTTTAGTACTCGGTGGTGTTGGGGGTCACAGGGAAAACAGTGGAGCAAAGAGAAGGCAAACAGTGAATCTGTGGCATCTTACTACACTGATGGACAGTGACTGCATTGGGGTATGGTTTGGGACTTGATAATACGGGTATATGTAGTAACCACATTGTTTTTTCATGTGAAACCTGCATAAGAGTGTATACCAGTAGTACCTTAATAAAAAATTTTAAAAAAAGAAAGTACCCAGAGAGAGAAAATATATTACTTATAAAGGAAATCCCATCAGGCTATCGGCAGACTTCTTAATAGAAACTCTAATAGCGAGATAGGAGTGGCACGATATATTTAAAGTACTGAAATAGAAGGACTTCCAACCAAGAATCCTCTATCCAGCAAGATTATTATTTAAATTTAACACAGGTCTTAACAAATTTCCACATAAACAAAATTTGAAGGAATTCGCCACCATTAAGCAAGCCCTAGAAGATATGTTAAAGGGACTGTTGTAGATGGAAATGACCCTAAGGCTAAATAGATTTAATCAGTGAAAGTAAAGGTAGTAAACAAACTAATTACCAAGCAAGTATGAAATTAGAACAAAAGAAGCAAAATCAACTGTACACAAAATCAGTCAAGAGATACACAAAAAATGCAGATGGTGACATTTAATATGAAAAATGTGGAGGAGAAAGGAGGAAAAAAAAGTATCTTTAGATTGTGTTTGAAATAAAGTAATGAACAATTTAAGATAGATTGTTACACAGTAAGGAAGCTATCCTTGAATCTACAATAAACACACCCAGAAAAAATACAGTAACTTAAAAAAAAAAAGAAAGAAATCCAATTACAACAGTAAAGAAAACCATTAGAGAAGAGAATAAGAGAGGAAGAAAGGAAGAGAGAGGAGCTCTAAAAAATAGCCAGAAAACAATATATAAAATGGCAGTTAAGTACATACCTATCAATAATCACCTAAAATGTAAAATGATTGAATGCAGCAATCAAAAGACATAGAGTGGTAGAATGGATAAGGAAATGACCCATCCATATGCTGCCTACAAGAGATTCATTTCAGACTCAAAGACATACAGACTGAAAGTGAAGGCATTAAAAAGATATTCCATGCAAATAATAGGGAGAGGAAACCAGGAAAACCAGTACTTATATCAGACAAACTAGACTTCACAACAAAGAAAGTAACGAGACAAAGAAGGACATTGCACAATGATAAAGGGGTCGGTCCAATAAGAGGATACAACCATTATAAACATCTATGCACCCTACACAGGAGCACCTAAATATTTAAAACAAATACTAACAACTAAAGGGGGGAAACAGATTGCAACACATTTATTTTAGGAGACTTTAATGCACCACTCAGATCAATCAGACAGAAAAGGAAAACAAAGTCACTGAACAATACCTTAGATCAGATGGACTTAACAAAACAAATATCTATAGAACAGTCCACCCAAAAGCAGCAGGATATATATTCTCCTCAAGTGTACATGGAACACTCTCCAGAACAGATCACTTACTACGCCACAAGAAGAGCCTTAATAAATTCAAAAAGACAAACTGCATCAAGTAGCTTCTCAAACTACAATGGTATGAAACTAGAAATAAATTACACAATGAAAATAATAATACCTACAAATACATGGAGGCTGAACAACATGCTTCTAAGTAATCAATGGATCAATGAACGAATTAAAACAGAAATCAATCAATACATGGAGACAAATACAAATGAAAACCCAACAGCCCCAAATCTGTGGGAGGTGGCAAAGGCAGTTCTAAGAGAACAGTACACAGCAATACAGGCTTTACCTCAAGAAACAAGAAAAATCCCAATTAAACAGTCTAGACTCATACTTAAAGAAACTAGAAAAGAAGAACAATTGAAGCCCAAACTTAGTAGAAGGAGAGACATACTAAAGATCAGAGTAGAAACAAATAAAGAAGAATAAAACAATAGAAAAATTAATGAAACTAGGAAGTGGTCCTTTGAGAAAATAAAATAGGCAAACCCCTACCCAAAATTATCAAGAAAAAAAGAGAATGAACATACATAAACAGAATCAGAAACAAAGAAGGCAATAGTGCATACCACAGAAATACAAAGAATTATTAGAGAATACTACGAAAAACTATATGCCAATAAACTGGACAACCTAGAAGAAATGGGCAACTTCCTAGAAAAATATAATCTCCAAGATTGACCCAGGAAGAAACAAAATCTGAATAGACCAATTACCGGCAATGAAACCAAACTGGTAATCAAAAAACTCCCAAAAAACAAAATCTGCAGTTCAGATGGCTTCACAGCTGAATTCTACCGAACATTCAGAGATAATACCCATCCTTCCTAAAGTTTTCCAAAATGCAGAAGACAAAGGAATACTTCCAAACTCTTCTATGAGGCCAGCGTCACTCTAATACCAATACCAGACAGACACCACAATAAAAAAAAATTATAGACCAATATTCCTGATGAACACAGATGCAAAAATACTCAACAAACTATTAGCAAACTGAATCCAAAAATACATCAAAAAGACCATCCATCCATCATGATCAAGTAGGATTTCTCAAAGGATGCAAGGATTACACAATATTCAAAAAGCCATCAACATCACACACCAATCACATTAACAAAAAGGACAAAAATCACATGATCATCTCAATAGACACTGAAAAAGCATTTGACAAAATTCAACATCCATTCATCGTAAAAACTCTGAACAAAATAGGTATAGAAGGCAAGTACCTCAACATAATAAAGGCCTTATACAACAAACCCACAGCCAACATCATACTTAACACCAAAAAGCTGAAAGCTTTTCCTCCAAAAGATCAGGAGCAAGTCAAGGATGCCCACTCTCCCCACTTTTATTCAACATAGTACTGGAGGTCCTAGCCATTTGTACTGGAGGCAATCAGACAACACAAAGAAATAAAGGCATCCAAATTGGTAAGGAAATTAAATTGTCACTGTTTACAGATGACATGATATTGTACATTTAAAAACCTACAGAATCCACCCCAAAACTACTAGAACTAATAACTAAATTCGGCAAAGATGCATGACACAAAATTAATACAGAGAAATCTGCTACATTCCTACATACTAATGGTGAACTAGCAGAAAACAACTCCATTTATAATTGTATCAAAAAGAATAAAATACCTAGAAATAAACCTAACCAAGGAGGTGAAAGACCTATCCCCTGAAAACCAAAAGATACTCATGAAAGAAAGAAGATATGTCTTCTACATATAAGAAGAATTAAAATGGCCATCCTGCCCAAAGCAATCTACAGATTCAGTGCAATCCCTATCAAAATACTGATAGTATTCATCAATGAACTAGAATAGTTCTAAAATTCCTATGGAACCACAAAAGACCCGAACAGCCAAAGCAATCATGAGAAAGAAGAACAAAGCTGGGGGAATATGCTCACTGACTTCAAGCACTACTACAAAGCTGCAGTTATCAGGACAATTTGGTACTGGCACAAGAACAGACCCATAGATCAGTGGAATGGAATAGATAGCCCAGATATAAACCCACATATCTATGGTCAATTAATATATGATGAAGGAGCCATGAATATACAATGGGGAAATGACAGCCTGTTCAATAAATGGTGCTGGGAAAACTGGACAGCTACATGTAAGAAATTGAAACTGGATTACTAACACCATACACAAAAGTAAACTCGAAATGGAACAAAGACCTGAATGTAAGTCATGAAACCATAAACTCTTGGAAGAAAACATAGGCAAAAATCTCCTGAATAGAAGCATGAGTAATTTTTTCCTGGACACATCTCCTTAGGCAAGGGAAACAAAAATGAATAAGTGGAACTACATCAAACTAAAAAGCTTCTGTACAGCAAAGGACACCATCAGCAGAACAAAAAGGCAGCCTACATTATGGGAGACTATATGTGCAAATGACTCATCTGATAAGGGTATACCATCCAAAATATATAAAGAACTCATACACCTCAACACCCAAAAAAATAACCCAACTAAAAAATGGGCAGAGGACCTTAACAGACACTTTCCCAAAGAAATACAAATGGCCAAAAACATGAAAGATGCTCCACATTGCTAATCATCAGGGAAATGCAAATTAAAACCACAAGGCCACAAGGAGGTATCACCTCACACCAGTAAGGATGGCCACTATCCAAAAGACAAGAAACAACAAATGCTGGTGAGGATACCAAGAAATAGGAGGCCTCCTACACTGTTGGTGGGAATGCCAATTGGTGCAACCCCTGTGGAAAGCAATATGGAAGTTCCTCAAAAAACTAAAAATAGAAATATCATTTGACCCAGTAATTACACTCCTAGGAATTTACCTGAACAATATCCCTGATTCGAAAAGATATATGCACCCCTATGTTTATCACTGCACTGATTGCAACAGCCATTACATGGAAACAACCTAAATGTTCCACCAACAGATGAACAGATAAGGAAGAGGTGGTACATATACACAATGGAATATTATTGTGCCATAAGAAGAAAATAAATCCCGTCATTATGAAAACATGGATGGCTCTAGAGGGTATTATGCTCAGTGAAATAAGCCAGGCAGAGAAAGACAAATACCATATCATTTCACTTACTTCTGGAATATAAAAACAAAGCAAAACAGAAGGAACAAAACAGCATTAGACTCACAGACACTGAGAATTGACTAGTGGTTACCAAGGGGGAGAGGAGGCAGATAAAAGGTCACAATAATTTGCAATCACAATGTAAGCTGATCATGGGGACTGTTGAACCACTGTGATGTACATTTGAAACCAACCTAAGATGGTATATTAATGATACTTTAATAAAAGATAAAAAGATTTAGGAGAAACAATAAAAAATAACTGTCACATTAAAGAGTCTGTTTCTGATTAACATCATATTGGCATCAGACTTCCACTCAATGTGATTTATCATCTGCATTTCAAATTCAGAACAAAGAAGAAATAAAGAATACCTTTTTAGTCCATCTTTTTACTCCATTATATCCTTTGGTTACCAGCTGTCTATGAAAAAAGCTGTTGAAGAAGTGAACCTAGAAGAGACATCAAAGAAGTACCCAGATTATATTAGGCCATGCCCAGATTTAACTTCAAAAGAAAATGGAAAAATAAAAATTCTTGAATGTGAGATACACCAAAAGATGAGGAAAAGTTTCTAATTAAAAATAATGACCAAAATATAGAAAATACATTATATAGGACACAAAAGATCTATTACAAATTTTCATTAGAATACCTCACATATGTAGTCCGTAGTCAGAATTGGAATGGGACAGTAAACTTAGATTACCTGAATCCACTCAAGTAGAGAAGCAATGTGACAAATCTGTCCATATCAGGTGATAAAGTTGAAAGAGGCTATAAAAAATGAGGTTAAGGACTGCCTTGAACTCAAGGGATTAGGATTATAAAACCAACACGATCTAAAGGAGGCGGATTTGGAGTCTCCTGTTGTCATAACAACTATAAAAAGGCCTTAGCATGATCACTTCTAGCACTGAAAAGAATTACCTGGTCATATAGAGAATCATGTCATGGCATCCCTGTCTTCAAATTTCTGGCTTATAAAATCAGTATCAACTCATCTAAGATAGTTAACATATTGTGCTTTTAAAGTCTCATTCAGTAAATGTCACTCACTTGGGATGATGAAACTGCTCTCTCAGTGCTGAGGTTCTTAGGGTGTGGTCCAGCACACTACCAGTATCAGCATTACCTGGGAACTTATTAAAATGCAAATTCTCAGGCCCCACCCCAGACCTACTAAAGCACAAACTCTGAGGGTGGAGCTCAGCAATCTGGTTTTATAAAGCTTCCAGAGGATCCAGATGCATATTTGTTTTGAGAGCCATGCACCTTAAGATATCATAAAAAAGAGCCTATATTAGCTCTAGCGCAGGTAATTCTCAAACTTTGAGAAGGAAAAAAGCTTGTTAAAACACAGATTGCTAGCCCCACCTCCAGTTTCTGATTCAGTAGATTTGGGTTGGAGCCCAAAATTTTGCATTTCTAGTAGGTTCCCACGTGATGTCAATGCTGCTGGTTTCAGGATTATACTTTGAGAACCACTGTTTTACTAAGTGTTCTTTTAATCCAGTGAAAGTTTATAATTAAATGCAGAAGTAATAAAGATAAATTATAGCCTTGAAATTGATACTGTTATCTAAGACATTTTGTGTATATTCATAAATGGCATTGGAATCTGAAGTAATTATATTTACCTATTTAAATTATTAGATTTATAAAAGATTATAAAGTAAGTACTTAGAAAGATTTTGCTTGGTAAAATCAAAGGCTGCCCACCAGTCAATTTCAGTATTCAGAAGGAAAATATGTAAAATTTTAAAAATAGCTTTGATTTTAAGCTCTACAGGTAATTTTAGAGTTCAAAGGGGGTTAGTTTGTATTTGAGCTGAGTTTCACAGATCAATCCAAGAAAAAGTGAAGATGTATACTACTTTACTACATTATTCCAGAAAGCAAAACTTTAAATTTAAAAGCATAAAGCAAACAGACCCTTTGTGCATCTCCCCACTGTTAAAGATGTAACAGGCTCAAAATGGAGTCACCTGTGCTAAGCCCACATCACCAAACTGAGACAATACCTAATTGCAGTTTCAGACTCTCCCAGAACTGTAATCTTAAACAGTCAAACAGGAATTACCTGGTCTGCACTAATGAGGCAATCTGCCTGAGAAATCTCTCCTTTCCCTAAAGGAAGGTGACTTTGCCTGAAACAATCCACTCTTGCTAGTAAGTTCCATGTCCTACCCCCTTCTGCCTGTAAGTCTTCCATTTTGTACAGTTCCTTAGAGCCTCTCTTTGATTGTTACATTGGATGTTGAAATTCATGAATCAATAAATAAAACCAGTAAGATCTTTAAATTTACTCAGTTGAATTTTGTTTTGTTGAATATTGTTTTTTATCACCAAAAAAAAAAAGCTACCTCAAGATACCAACACATCCACTCTGAAACAAATAAGCTGGAAAACACTGGCATCATGACTTTCTTATGTAGGAAAGATTTATAGAATATATACACAAACTTAACATGATGAAGACAAAATCTAACACTTTAAAAAAATCTAAGTAATATCAAATAATTAAATTAAGTTTAAAGAGAGAAACTTCTCCTTTTAATACATAAGGACTCTCCTGAAGAAGAGTTAAGTTTTCACTTACTTTGTCTGGGACTGCATCCATTATCAGCTCACCGTACATATTAATGACCTATAAAAAGTCAACATAAAACCAGCTTACTAACCCTATATAACTGAGAACATCCCACTCAGAATGAATAACATATTGATACTGCTTTCAGTAATCAAACCTTTTGGACACTGGGGTTAGTGACTGAGTAGTTTCAAAAAGGAATAAAGAATCCTTGATTCCAAAAGATACTGTGAGACCAACCCAGAAGTCATTAATTTTATTTTATTGTCCAACATCCTGTGCAACTTTTCCATGCTAAGAACCTAAAATAAACTCACCTGGTCATTCAGCCAATTCTGACCATCCAAGGTTGCCAAATCATCCATATCCAGCATGTGCTTATTGTAGAAGATACGGAAGTTGCATTTTTGATGTCTTGCTCGATAGTTTGTTATTTCCTTATTGATAAATGGTTTTCTGCAACATAAAGATTTCAAAAGATAAAGAAACATGAGTTCTCCTCAATATTTTGCTAAGTATTTTTTTTAACCAAAAGAAAAGTTATATTTGCCAACAATTGTATTTTCAAGGGCTTAACTTAAGCATTACTGACAAACCTATTAGAAAAATCTTCATTAAAGACATCTTTTAATCTTCCAAGGACATCTTTTTCACTGAGTGGGACCAAACTGCCATATTTCTTCATAACCTCATCTAGGAATCCTTAAATAAAGGAAGAAAGAAAATTAAGATGGAAAAATATTTGCAGCAAAGGAATTCTCCAAATACTTTTAGTAACACAACACATATTTAAACTATGACTAACATACATTACACTATAAAAGAAATATTTTAAAAGTTATGCTTTGTAAAAAAATTAATGAATCAGGGCATCAGCATTCCAAATTAGAAATGCTATAAGGCATCATTTCATATTGGATTTTTAAGCTGATGCATTGTTAGGGAGGAAATGGCTCGCTAAAACTAAGGATTGATATCTTTTGGTAAAGATAAGAATCCTATCACCTAAAGAGTGAAACCTAAAGAGCTAAATCACACAGTTTAATGTGTATAACATTTGACAAGTGAAGGAATCATCTATGTAAAAACCACAATTGGAAGGAATTAATTGTTAAGACTGCTGTTACTCAAAGAAAAAGTTCAAAGAGTTAACTGTTGCCTCCATGGATTAGAAGTTTGGGATGGAGAGGGTAGGGCAGGACACTGCTGTTTTTCTCACTATGAAACCTGAAGTATCCTATGTTTAAACTATAAACTTGTGTTTTTTTGATGAAAGAAAAAAGGAAAAAAAAAAGAAAGCTGTCACTGAAAAAGCAGTTCTAACAGGGAAGTACACAGCGACACAAGCCTACCTCAAGGAACAACAACAATCCTAAACAGTCTAATCTCATAGATAAAGAAACTAGAAAAACAACAACAAACAAAACCTAAAGTTAGTAGAGAGGGACATAATAAAGATCAGAGTGTAAATAAAATAGAGAAGAATAAAACAATAGAAAAAAAGTCAATGAAACCAAGAGCTAGTACTTTGAGAAGATAAATATACAAATCCCTAGCCAGACTTACCAAGAAAAAATGAGAGTACACAAGTAAACAAAATCAGAGTCACAACTGCCTTCACAGAAATACAAAGAATTATTAAGGAGTTCTATGAAAAATTATATGCCAATAAATTGGACAAACTAGAATGGACAAATTCCTAGAAAAGCACAACCTTCCCAAAATGACCCAGGAAGAAATAGAAATTCCAAACAGACCAGTTACCAGTAATGAAATTGAACTGGTAATCAAACAACTCCCAATAAACAAAAGTCCATGACTGCTTCACAGCTGAATTCTACTGAACATTTCTGGAAGAGATAATACCCATCCTTCTTAAAGTATTCCAAAACATAAAAAGGAGGGAATACTTCCAAACTCATTCTATGAGGCCAGCATCACTCTAATATCAAAACCCAACAAACACAATACAAAAAAAAATGAAAATTATGGACCAATATCCATGATGAACATAGATGCAAAAATCCTCAACAAAATATTAGCAAACCAAAACATTAAAAGGACCATCCATCACAACCAAGTGGGATTTATTTCAGGGATGCAAGGAGGGTACACTATTCAAAATTCAGTCAACACCACATACCACATCAACAACAAAAAGGATAAAAATCAAACGATCATCTCAATAGACACTGAAAAAGCATTTGACAAAATTCAACATCAATTCATTGATAAAAACTTCAACAAAATAAATATACAGGGAACATACTTCAACATAATAAAGGCCATATATAACAAACCAACAGCCAACATCATACTCAGTAGCAAAAAACTGAAAGATTTTCCTCTAAGAACAGGAACAAGACAAGGACGTCCGCTCTTACCACTTTTATTCAACATACTACTGGAGGTCCCAGCCACGGCAACCAGATGAGATAAAGAGGTAAAAGACATCCAAATTGGTAATGAAGGAGTTATTTAAACTGTCACTATTTGCACATGACATACTATATATAGAAGACCCTAAAGCACCTAACAAAAAACTAGAATAACTGGATTCGGCAAAGTTGCAGGATACAAAATTAATACACAGAAATCTCTTGCACTCTGATATATAAACAACAAACTACCAGAAGGAGGAATCAGGAAAACAATTTCATTTACAATTACATCATAAAGAATAAAATACCTAGGAATAAACCTAACCAAGGAGATGAAAGACCTATACTCTAAAAAGTATAAGACACTCGGAAGAGGATTAAACATGGAGGCATGGGAGGTTAGACAGAGGCTTCCTTCTAAAACCACATATACTATGAAAATACAATTAATGCAACTAATCCTGAGAGAGCAACAGGAGAGGACTACACCAGACCGCATACACCTGGAGAAAGGAGCAGACTCACGGAACAGGGTAACATACCAAAGCTGTGGCCTGGTGGGATCCAAGCCCTTCCCCCACCCCTGCTTACCAGTGGGAGGAAGAGAAACGGAGCAAGGAGGGAGGGGAGACCTGGGACTGCTGAATACCTAGCTCCAGAGATCAGCTCTGGGAGTACAAACCTACATTTCATGGTGTTTTCATGATATTTGTGTGATTAGGATATTGGAAAGCTAAGACAGGCAGAATTCCTGGAGAAACTGCGATTCCAGCAGCTTGTGGAAAGCAGGGATCCATATACAGCTGCTCCAGGACAAAAGCTAAACAGCTCTTTCCTCCCCTGAGGCACTAAGACCACTCCCCTGTAACCCACAACATTGCTTCAGGGGCTGAACAGCTCCAGAGAGCAGAGCTTCTGGACATTAGAGGGCGCCATATACAAACATGAAACACCAAAGGAACCTGGTCCAGAGTAAAATTAATGTAACTCCAGAGAAAGATTTAAATGACATGGACCTTATAACTCTTCCTGAAAGGGAGTTCAAAATAAAAATCATCAACATGCTAATGGAGGTACAGAAAGATATTCAAGAAGTCAGGAATGAATTCAGGTCAGAGATCCAATTGCTGAAGAGCACGATGGAGGGTATTAAAAGCAGGCTGGATACAGTGGAGGAGACAATAAATGAAATAGAAACTAGAGAAGAGAATACAAAGAAGCTGAGGCACAGAGAGAAAAAAGGATCTCTAAGAATGAAAGAATACTGAGAGAACTGTGTGACCAATCCAAATGGAACAATATTCGCATTACAGGGGTGCCAGAAAAAGAATAGAGAAAGGGATAGAAAGTGTATTTGAGGAGGTAGTTGCTGAAAACTTCCCAAATCTGGGAAAGGAGATAGTCTTTCAGACTATGGAGGTGCACAGATCTCCCAACACAAGGGACCCAAGGAAGATAACACCAAGACATACAGTAATTAAAAATGGCAAAGATCAAGGATAAGAACAGACTATTAAAAGCAGCCAGGCAGAGAAATATCACATACAAAGGAAAACCCATCAGGCTATCATCACACTTCTCAGCAGAAACCTTACAGGCTCAGAAGGGAGTGGCATGATGTGTACTTAATGCAATGAAGCAGAAGGGGCTGGAACCAAGATTACTTTATCTGGCAAGATTATCATTTAAATTTGAAGGAGAGATTAAACAATTTCCAGATAAGCAAAAACTGAGAAAATTTACCTCCCATAAACCATCTCTAGTCTATCATGGAGGGAATGCTACAGATGGAAGTATTTCTAACGTTTAATAGCTGTTGCCAGAGGTAATAAAACCACAGTAAAGAAAGTAGAACAACTAATTACTAAGCAAATGCAAAATTAACATCCCAAAATCAATCAAGGGATAGACAAAGAATACAGAATATGATAACTAATGTACAAAGAATGGAGGAGGAAGAAAAAGGAGAAAAAGAAAAGAACCTTTAGATTGTGTTTATAACAGCATATTAAGTGAGTTAAGTTAGACTCTTAGATAGTAAGGAAGTTAACCTTGAATCTTTGGTAACCACGAATCTAAAGTCTGCAATGGTAATAAGTACATTCCTACTGATAATCAACCTAAATGTAAATGGTCTGAATGCACCAATCAAAAGACATAGAGTCAAAACGATTGAAATTGTACCAACCAGTTTCTCAGACCACAAAGGTATGAAACTAGAAATAAATTACACAAAGAAAATGAAAAATCCCACAAACATATGGAGGCTTCACAACATGCTCCTAAATAAACAAAGGATCAATGACCAAATAAAAACAGAGATCAAGCAATATATGGAGACAAAAGACAACAATAATTCAACACCACAAAATTTGTGGGATGCAGCCAAGGCTGTGCTAAGAGGAAAATATACTGCAATACAAGCCTAACTCAAGAAAGAAGAACAATCCCATATAAGCAGTCTAAACCCACAACTAATGAAAAGAGAGAAAGAAGAACAAATGAGGCCCAAAATCAATAGGAGGAGGGGCATAAAAAAGATTAGAGCAGAAATAAATAAAATTGAGAAGAATAAAACAATAGAAAGAATCAATGAAAGCAAGAGCTGGTTCTTCAAAAAAATACACAAAAAAGATAAACCCTTACCCAGACTTATCAAGACAAAAAGAGAGAATACTCACATAAACAGAATCAGAAATGAGAAAGGAAAAGTCACTATGGACACCACAGAAATACAAAAAATTATTAGAGAATACTGTGAAAAATTATATGCTAACAAAATGCTTAACCTAGAAGAAATGGACAACCTTCTAGAAAAATACAACCTTCCAAGGCTGATGCAGGAAGAAACAGAAAATCTGAACAGAACAATTACCAGCAACTAAATTGAACTGTTAATCAAAAAACTACCTAAGAACAAAACTCCTGGACCAGATGGCTTTACTGCTGAATTTTATCAAACATTTAGTGAAGACCTAATACCCGTTTTCCTTAAAGTTTTCCAAAAAAATAGAAGAGGGAATACTTCCAAATTCATTCTATGACACCAGCATCACTCTAACACCAAAACCACCAGGCAAAGACACAACAAAAAAAGAAAATTACAGACCAATATCCCTGATGAACACAAATGCAAAAATACTCAACAAAATATTAGCAAACCGAATTAAAAAACACATCGGAAAGATCATGCATGATGATGAAGTAGGATTTCTTCCAGGGATGCAAGGATGGTACAACCTTCGAAAATCCATCAACATCATCCACCACCATCAACAAAAAGGACAAAACCCACATGATTGGGGATCTTGCACCCCAACT